AGTGTTGCCTAATAGTATTTGTATATATGGGAAGTATCAATGGCAGTATTCATTTTGCTAAGTAAAGCCACGCCACTATTTCAAAACTCTCTGATGGCAAACAAGCGCTACCTTCCCAATTTTGGGGTAATTACTGTCGGAATAAATGTTACGTAAAATGATTGTTTTATATTAGTCGATAAGTTTGCATCTATAAAAGTACTACCTGTCGTTTGTTATTTGAGCATGTCATTGGGTCGTAAAATTTTGCAAAATTTATTAAAAAAAAATTGGAACGCTCGAAAAAAAAGGTTGCGAACCACTGAATTAGACCATGTCTGATAATTTACAGAATCGTATTCCAATGAGATTTAAGGATTGCGTTATTATGTCACACTTATTGCTATATCGCTTGTAAACAGAGGGAAAGGTTATTTACCCAAATGGTTCGAAATATGAATTTCGTTTTGCAAACGACGCATTCAATCCATGTTTGTAAATTATCGCAATCTATAACTTTAATTATCCCGTGGCGACTTTGTTCAGTCGAAAGTATATAATGCACAGTTACACACCCAAGGGACAATACCATTCATAGACATTGACCCCTTTTATCAGTATTACTGTAACGTTATACAGAAATTCTATGTCGATTCGAAGTTAATTCAACTGAATCATTTTGGTTGCATTCTCAATTGTGCACTCCATCAGAAAATATGATTCAATAATGAGGCCCATCTTTCAGGCAAACCCTAATGTATTTTACCTTTGAGTCAGCATTAGATCTGTATTTTTGATACCCATAAACAAGTAACATCTCTGCTTTTTTCACAATGGATTACCAACTGCATGTGGTGTTACGCAGTGTGTATCGGCGTGCCGATTCCCATAGGACCCGGTGGAATTCGTTAGATACTTTATTATGCATCTGACGTTATTTGTGTGATGAGGGTTCTATTGCCTATATGAGTTGTATGTACTGGTTGTCGGTTAAATATGACTTAATTTTGTTAAAGGTTGAATTATTGAGTAAAAATTGCCGTCGATTAAAAACCCTCCTGTAAAATGGCGTTCACCAATTTGGGACTCTTTTGGATTATTCTTGGAGTAGCAATCGTAAGCGAAGGTAAGTTTATTTTTGGGGTATTTGAGAAAGAACGGTTTTTGTTGCAATGACTGATTTTATTGGTATCATCAAAATATATGAAGAACAACAAAAAATGACGGTGATATGTCGTGATTTTAGATATTTGTATATATTATATGGAAGCTCAAACTTGGCTTTGTGATTTAGGCAGTCACTTTAATTTGTTATTATTCCGTATGCGTATCATCAGGCAAAATATCAAAACGCTATGTCGATCAACTCCTGCGGGACTGGCACGCGTAAAAGCAAGAAAATACCAATATTATATTATATAATTTTTAAATAATAAGCTTGACTAATTTGGAAAAACATAAGATGACACTTTTGATAATTTCGGAATTAGTTAAAGCGTTAAATTTTGTTCAAATCCGAGGAGCGAAAAACTGCAGTTCAAGTTCACCAACCCTCAAAAAACGCCAGACTCCGAATTCAACCCCTGGTGCTAGCTATTAAATGATTTTGGATAAAAGCCAAAATTCAAAATTTGGTCAAATGAATCATGCTATTTTTCTCTTCAGCTCAGGCCACGTATCCTCCAACGTGCGACTCAAATGCCGTTTGCGTCGGATATTATTCTGGATTCAATTGCTCCTGCAACAGTGGTTACAAAGGAAGCGATGGGGGATGTGTCAACATCAATGAATGCGTAGAGACGCCACAAGTTTGTACAGAAATTGAAACGTGCAACGATATTATCGGGAGTTACAACTGCACATGTGGTGATATTGACATCATTTGTCACGACCTTGCTGATGCATCAACGGCACCAATGCAACTTCGTGTGTGTGCAATGCAGGTTACACTGGAAACGGAACCCACTGCGTTGACGAAGACGAATGTGAGGTCGGTTCTCATTTTGTAACCCTGATGCTAACTGCAGCAATACCGTGGGCAGTTACAGCTGCGCATGCCATGACGGTTTTGAAGGTAACGGTTTCTTTTGCATCGATCTGAATGAATGTGATATCGGAACGCATGACTGCGTTCCCCGCTCACCTGTAACAATAACACGAGGTAGCTTCGATTGCGTTTGTGGCGAAGACGGCTACTGTCACGATAATGGATATTGCGTTAACCTCGAAAATTCAACCTTCTGTGTGTGCAAAATTGGATACATTGGAAACGGCGTTTTGTGCGGCGATGTAGATGAGTGTGAAGCCGAAAATGATTGTCATTCGAATGCATCATGCAAAAACACAGAAGGAAGTTACAGATGTATTTGTAAAGAAGGCTACGGAGGAGACGGAAAGGAATGTAATTTTGCGAGTGTAACTTCAATTTCCATCGGATTGTTTGTGCTTAGTGTTACATCTTCAATGCTTTCTTATGGCTCTAGCTAAGATTATTAAAAATAGTTATACAGTTGTACAATAGTTTTTAGATAATAATATTAAATACACTGTTATAGTATATTACACTTCAAAGACAACTGTTAGAATTCTCGTGGGGATTGGATTTTTGGTTTCTATGATTCGGGTATGATTAACAATCAATTGATAATAGATTATTGAAACTTATGATTTTATTTTAATATAACGCGATTTATTAATATTTCCAATCTGATATATGCTGAACAGTGCATTTATATTGCAGAAATATTTTTATTGGGCAAAAAAATCCTAGTTGATAATCTATTCGGGTTTGATTTTAGGAAACGGGGTCTGATGAAGGTATTTAAAGCAGCAACCCCAACCCTTAGAAGCGAAGGAAATTAACTTGAAAGTAAAATCATAGGCGACGACTGACATTTCAGGAAACGCAGAACAGTAATTAGATATAGATTATAAAACAGTCGTACAATATATATGAACCAGAGATGTAAACCTGCCGAATTTCAAATAAGAGTAGCATGTAAAATGAAGAAAGTATCCGCAAATCGAGCTTGGTATACGGCGAATAATCTGAGTTAGACAAGATAAAAATTGTAGATGAATAGAATATGAACCCGTTGTTGTTAAGACTGATTTCCAACCCTAACCTCAACTGGATAAGTACAAATTTGGTATTTTAAAACATGGTAGGAGAGTTTTTCTCAAATCTCACATTTTTGTATTAGTGACGGGGGCTTTGTAGAAAAGATCTCGATAACGGCGTATACTTCAGTAAGATGAACCACTTCCTACTGGGAATGGTTAACGGTTACGATTTATTTTAACCGTTAACTGACATCTCAGGTACAAATCGTCTTTATAATGTACAATTCTTTCAAAAATGATTACGTCATCGAAAATTTATCTCCTGTGGCGTTTAATTCAAAAGAATATCGCTAACTGTATTGGTAAGGAGTAGGACCCAATAAATGTGAAAAATAATTGAAGTACCAAGATTGCTGATTATGAAAATTTGACAATAATTAATTATGAATCAGTTTTCGGTCGAAACATAGTGTTCACGATTTTATTTCAAAATCGTACATTCAATGTCAACCAACAACTGCGTAGTTGATGCTGTTTTTCTATATATATCTCAAAGCAGAATTTGCACATCGAATGCTAAAAATTTGTCACATAAATGACATTTAATAAGGAATCGGGTTTTACTAAAATGGTTCTATTTGTCCCAACTACGCCGCATATCTCTTGCGGCAGAGCGATCACGAAACCACCTCGATTCGTAAATAATTTTGAGCGATACCGAGATGAGGTCACGCAAAATTGCTTTGTAACCATTGTGACGTAACAAGCTAAAACTATAAATTATTATGTGAAACGTCACGCTGCGGTTAACCGGTTAATTTTACCCGGTTAACGGTTAAAGTGTTTTCCCTAAAATTCCCAGCCCTACATATGTACTTAATCGGAATGGGTCCACTTCTCCATTGGAAGTCGTACTTTTTAAGCTGTAATAAACAAATATACGAGAGTCATATATCCGTTTCTCTGCAAGTAGCCTATAAATTTTGGCTGGTCAGTCATTTTTAGGTTTTTATTGAATATTTGTATTTGGTTCACATCAATATGTGCATGTAATATATATCTATATAAAAGCTGAAAAATTAAAAAGAAAAAGTCATGACAACACTGAGAACATTTACGGGAAAATGAATGAAAACTAAACACTTCAAAGAATATTATTTGAACACCATAGAGTCAATATAAACAACACAACGATATTTGATAGGTTATGTGCAATACTCGGAGCGGCACTATTACACGTAAAACTGCCATGCGTATTCTTGCATATAGTTTCTTTTGTACAATTATGTGTCCCTTCAAAGCACTCATTAACATCTTGGCAATACTGTCCGTCACCAGCAAACCCGATTCCGCAAACGCAGCCGATTTTCCCCCTTTCGTTCAAGCAGTATGCTGACCCGTGACAAACTTTACCGTTGCAGAAACACTTATAGCTGCCTTGTTCATTCTGACAAGTTTCTATTTGTTGACACACACTGCCAATGTCGTTACATTCATCAACGTCAATGCATTCCCTACCGTCTCCCATGTATCCTTCAAGGCATCGACATGAATGTCCTCCAGGATGATTTTCACAGGCTGCGTTTACGCTGCAAGTGTTTCGTACGTCACAGTCGTTAATGTCAACACATTGATGATCTTGTTTGATAAATCCGCTGTTGCAGTTGCAGACTTTCATAGAGCAGTATGCAAAATCCGGACAATCTCTAGATGTTTTGCATTTCTGACTCGAAACTGGTGGAAAGTAAAACAAATGAAAAATAAAATTGTAGAAACAGAAAATTCAACCAAATTGGAAGCGCGTGAGAAATCTATTAAAACTATTTTAATTCTCTGAAAGGTATAAACTGTTATCTCAAAATATCTGCAAGCTTTATTGAAACCACCCGGGTTCAAATATCTCGAGTCCAATATTTACCGAAACCGACCCCACCTGGCCTGTTGGGAATTTTAAACAACTCTTATCCGAATCATTGAAGTAGGCCAAAAACTGAATTCAATAATATCTTGTCGGGTATGCTATGTGATTAAACTGTTACAAAAATATTGGCAACACCAAAGACTCATGCATGCCGATGTAATTACATTTTATTAAAAGAAACTTAAAATTCGATTCCAGCACCGGCGAACTATATAGTTAGACTCCGATAACAAATTTTAGGAAATTGGTAGTACAATATAACTCCGACAGAGCAAAACAGGAAAATGCAAAACTTATCGACTCTTAAAGTCTCTTCTAGTGGCAGTCGTCTTCGAGACAAAAAAATTAAATTGTCATGTCTAAAAGTATGTACGTTCACAATCGCCTATGAGATGTAAGTCCTTATTTGGCGATTACCATTATATTTGCATAATGTTACTTACTATTTGATGGGAAGAGATTATGTTATTCCTATTAAATCTTATAGTCACGTGGTTTCGAGTTTAAAATACCTCTTGGCCGCGCGTAAATACTAAGTTGTAACTAAATGATATATAGATATACGATCCAACGACACATTTAATATTTGCTGAAAAGTGATTTAAATTACAAATGATCGTTGATAAACGTTTATTCACTTTGAATATAATGATGGTGGCATCAATAGCGTATTTCATAATAGATAATCACTGATGATCTCTAGTGCGAGTGTTTTATCTGGCATTAAATAATCATAGCACTTTGTCGAGTTCATTCATATATTTCTCCTTAACAATTCATAAATTATTTGAACTTAATAATGGTAATCGAAATGTAACTTGCAGTATTCATGTTATATTATGGCTGATTGTAGATATGTGGAAAACACTTACCGGTTAATATTCCAGTAAAAACAATGTAGAGCTTCATTACTGCCCGGGGGCTACACATTCTTTCAGTAATTTACAACTTTCAGATAGCAAATCAAATTAATAAAATGTCTCGTACTGCTTTAAGGATAAATCGGAAATCCATGAACTGATACAACTAAATCTGATGTTTAGTAATGGATAAAAAAAAAACATAAAAATATTTAAATATAAAATATATTCGATTGAAAAAGTACAACAGCAACAAAATATACAACTGCAATAGCAGCAGTATCATGGTATTACGAAAAAGAACGTTTATCTAGAATATCATCAAACATATGACGTGACAGCGATGTGTGATATTTTTTATTACATATCATTTTCAATGGTTGTTTTGGTAACGCGGGGATTAGAATTTCTGACTCTGATTTTTTACAGAGATAAAATGTGTCGTTTAGGACGAACATTTATATCTGATTTTAGTTGATGCAAATAATGTTATTTATATGTCATCCTGGCTCTAAAATAATATATATATATATTTAAAATTCAATATTCCCAGCGAATGTAATAAATTTGAAAATTTCCTAAAGCATACATTAATCACCATGTAATATTAATAGACTCGTACAGTTTCCCAATTCAGTGACCTTTATCATGCTAAACGGTATTTTTTCAAGATTTTTTATATAAAATTTTCTTCCATTGACTTTTCCAGCAATCTTTTCTGACCTCTATGTTGCTTGTAGATTGCTTGTCTGTTGGTAATTAATGGACAAATCGAGTCCACAAGAAAACGACAATTTCCAATGAGAAAATTTCTCTAGAAATATGTACATATATATAAATAAATCTATATGGCAATTGCTCAATAACAAAAGTACCAAGTTTGTTAAATTTCTCGTTTAAGGTGAGGCTAATAGATTGCCTTTGGTTGATTCATCTGTCCGCTATCTCAGTTGTCAACAAAACTTCTCTTCCACTTTATAATTATTATCATCTTTGATACTTTCGTTCACAAATTTTTTTTATATTCGAATCTAACCCTAGCAAACCTGAAACATGGTGTACACCCAAATTAGGAAAATGTAATATGAAAACTCAAAATCGCCATACTTCTACTGTTCGATCTGGGAAAGTCTGAATGTGGTTTCTTTTCGTCATAATCGAATCTACCACATAGGAATACCACCTCGAAGAAACCTGACAGTATCGGTGTACTGCTAATCTGCCCTGGGGCAAAACAAAAACGATTTGAAAATTTGTAGACATCTCTCTGGTGACAACGTACATGTATTGTCAAAACGAATAAATCAAAACATAAATATTAGGTCATATTTTAGGTTCAAAGGGTAAGCCAAGCTATCGAGAATACTGTTATTCTAGTACAAAAATTCCATACCGACGTGAGAAACGTATTGTAAAATAACATAGACAGCTGACGATTCAAGTTTCATTAACACAAGATTACTAGAATAATTTTAATAGCAAATCAACTCATGAAAAATAAATTTAATTGCGAAAAACCGTCTACTAGTTAAGTTATCCAGATTGCTAAATGCCGCAAGTGTGTTTTTGAAAATATTACGCCAAAATTACAATAACACACCCTATAATACCTTATATCGGCAATGAAGTCATATAGACAAGTGGGGTAAATTATTATTCCATATCCATACAAAATGTTTTTGAAACATATTGGTGTGAATGTTTCATTTCGCAAATTCACAAATGATTTGTTGTAGTAACAAACGTTTTAATGACATCGTGAAATTAGGGGCAATCTAGATGCTCATTACCCTAACTTGGACACTTTTTATAGACTCCATAAAATTAAGTTGCCTTCAGGTGGTGATCTTTAGATGAAGCGTGGGAATAATTTGAAATATATACATTACTTATGAAAAAATTACTGATGTCCTTGTTAATTTTACCGTGCATGAATTTTTAACCACGTGTGATCGGCATTTCATCAACTGGCAATTGGCTTCTGAGGTCATACCAAAGAAAGAGAGATAGAAATAGATTAAAAAGTAAACGCGAGAGAGTGAGAAAGTATTGAATAAATCGCTACTGTAATAGTAAAGTACTCCGATATGAAACAGATATGAAATAAATTATTACATATAGTAAAAATTATATCCGTGCAAGGAATTTATTCATTAAAACCAACCTATTTTTACCAGGAGTAAATATTGATACGAAGAGTGAGAACAGTGAGAAATGCGATTACAAAATGCAAATATGAAGATATGTTCATTTTCCCGCTCGAACGTGTCAAGATAAATTGCATAGATCCCACGGCATTATAGCAAAAATCCTGAACGAATAGAGCACATGACTGTCGAGATGCACATGATTCAATTGACATATGTTTCACCTCATTTGCACTGTAGCACTTGCAACCAAAATAGCATAACATTGCCGTTTCATTGCAAGCATCAAGGCCGCTGCAAACACATTCAATCTCGTTGTACTGTGGAAATGCTAACACAGCTTTCGTACTCAGACAATCTAAAAAGTTGATGCAGTCTCTATCCTCCTGTGTACATTCAAATATATCTTCATAGCAAAAGGTCTCATTACCGTAATAATGACTGGGACAAATGCAGTTGAAGCTTCCGGGTAAATTTTCGCATGCGCGTTCATCCGGACAATCGTGTCTGTCGTTCAAACATTCATTTACATCGAAACATTTTCCATAATGCTTTTCATATCCTTGGGGGCATTCGCAGCTTTTGGTTCCATTTCTCATTTCACAAATCATTTCATCTTCACATATTTCTCCATTATCCTCATCACAAACGCAGTGCAATCGTCCATTTATTTTCATGGACGTTTCAAATTGCGCACATTCTGTGACAGATCGTTCTGACGTCGATGGTGATCCGTCTATGTTTTCTGATTCTGTTTAATAAGAAGTGGGAATTTCTTTTCATTATATAAAAATCGGGGAATGAAAAATATATATATACAGTGAAAATAATTAAACTGTATCGGCTTTGGAATGGAAATTATTAAATATATATTTTCATAGGCGTGGCGTTACTTGATTCAACAATTGGCGGAATACAGCATTTTGTGTACAAATTTAAGCTCAAGATGCAATAGGGATAACAGTAAAGGCCCGTATAATAATATTCGGCAAATATTTACTATATTTTCTCCTTAGACGCGTAAATATATATTTCACTGCATATGCTCTCTATCGGTAGTTTATTCCCTGCTTAGATGAGAAATTCACTTTGATTAACTTAGTAAAGCCAAATAGTTTGCTGAATTATCTAATCAAAATATTTACTTGCCTGCAAAACTTCCATATCCCAATATGTAAAGAAAAGTAAGAAGTTTCAGTAATGACATCTCTATGCGTTGAATTCATTCTATCATCTAAATATGGATATACTCTACGAATACGTAGTTGAGCACAACTTTTATATCCCGTGCGCATGCAGATCATTCGTAGACAAATAGACGACGATTGTTAATAATTAATCAAACCTATAAGCTTTATTAACTAAGACTGAAGGTCGGAATTTAATCACAGACCTAGACGCAACAGTTTATTATATTCTATTGTATAATTCATTCGTAATATAATGATAAGAAGATTACCTACAGAAAAATAAATATGACTAAAATGACTTCTGTCTGTTCAGGTCTGCGATAGTTGACGTCACATTTGTGGCCTTGGTTTGATTGATGATGATTTGTATTCAATAAAAATTGCGGGTGTGCTGTAGAGAACTCGCCTTTGATTCCAGAAGTGTTGAAAAAATCCTAAGACTAACAAATGACACAAAGTGCGTTTAAAACTTTAAATGATATCTAGCGAAAAGCTGCGAATTCGGCTTGATTTTCTGTTTAAATTATATAAAAAAGTGATATCTAGCAAATTTGGAACTGCAAAAATATAGCATACTTTCAAAATATATAATTTTGTAAAAATGTTTCACACTGCTGAATATTTTTAATTCAACTTGTATTTGATTCATTTAGTTATTGTATATATATTTATTAACATATAAAACACAATTGATCGGTAGTCGGTACAGTTACAGCATTATTATTCACTAATCACAGGAAATATGCATATATAATCATATAAATACCATCAATTATTGTACATATTTCTTAAAATTTTTCATTTTTGATCATGTTTCTTTATTTTGCTATTTTTGTATGCCCAAGTTGATTATCCGGACTCAATTTTTGAGGTATGTGTTACAGCACCTAACGAACCTGATTGGGTTTCATCACATCTCGAACAAAAATCAAAAACCCCATTATTAGAACGATATATATATATATATATTGTGGTTATAATAATACTATATGATCCCACCTTATTTAAAGGTGATCATTTTGTAACGCATGTAACAGATATGTACAATCTTTTTTTTTAATTATTTAGAAGATTTGTACTCTCTACCATCTTTCAAATGCAAATAAAAGAATACGTCAATGGCGATTAATTTGATTTTTTCGGAAAATATATATCATTTGAATTGCTGAGTTTCCATTACAAGCGTTGCACTATAGTAGGAACTGCGTTAACTGACAAAAAAGATGTTATCACCGTCATCATAAAGTGATTATAAAATTTACAGTAAACTGTTTTCATGGTATTAAATTTTAAACGAAACTGATGACTTTGGACAAAATGGTGAAAATTACAACAAATAAACCACAAAAATAGTTTAAACGAATCGAATTTGCTGAACAAATGCTATCATCTACGCAAACGCATAAATTTTCAGTGGAGCAAGTTGAGCCAATCCCACATTCATTTTCACCACCAGCACATGTAATGGCCGAACAATTGAAGCCATCTCCGGCATAATTTGTGGAACATTCACAATTTCCATCGATGCATTTGGCATTCTCGTGACAGCCAGAGTTATCTGAACAAGTTTTCCTACAAACAGATCCGACGGAAGTCCAATCTGAGGCACATGAGCATAGGCTGGATAAGCATTGCGAATTCGGCAGACATGAGGTTGTATCGCTACCGGTACAAGTCTTTTGTGTGCATTCAGCGGTTGATCCATCGCCCTCCCAATTTGCTGCACATACACATACGCCTTCGTAGCATAAAGCATTAGATGCGCAATCTGTTGCAGCAGTGCAATTTTTTCTGCATGCTGTCTCAATGGCTGTCCATCCGTCCTCACACTCGCACTTATTTTCATTGCTGCATTTGGAATTCGCGTCACAGTCACTCGATTGAGTACATGTTTTTTGAACACATGCGCTCTCTCCAGCAATAAAATTAACTCCACAGGAACAATGGAAAGTGCTCGAGCTTGAAGTACAAAACACGCTCGATCCGCATGTTGTCAATTTATCAGCTAAAGTGCATGTTTTCCCCGCACATGATCCAGTTGTTGCATCAACAGTTGATACGAATCCGCAGTTACAACCGAGCGAAGTTCCAGATGTTGCACAATAGGAATTTGTTTCTGTACACTGAGAATTTTGGGTGCAGGTTTTGCGGGTACAGTCCGTTCCAGAAACATCGAAATTCTTTTTACATACGCAATTTGTTCCGTCGCAATAAGAATTTGCTGAACTGCACAATGAAGCATCAGAAGTACACACTATTTGGCTGCATGCGTTACCGACCTCTTGATAATGTGCAACACATGCACACTTGTCGTCAGCGTTGCACACAGTGTCAGTGCCACAATTTGTTGCTGCATTACCGCCACAAGCTTTACGGGTACAATCGGCAACTGATGCTCCGTCAAAATTAAACTTGCAGGCGCAGTTACTCCCATCACAATATGAGTTTTGATCAGAAGAAATACAGACGGAATCGTCGCCACAAGTAATTTGTACACAAGTATTCTCATTAGCAACAAAATTTGCTCTGCAGCTGCACTTGTCATCATTGTCACATGCTGTGTTGGTCCCACAATTTGTTGCCGCATTTCCACCACAAGTTTTACTCGTGCACGTCGTTGAGCTTGTATCGTCAAACGTGATTTTACATGTACAGTCACCTGAACTACAATATGAGTTTGGATCTGCCGAAGTACAGACACTCGAATCTGTGCCGCAGTCTCGAACGCAGGCTCCATCTTTTACCGCGAATCCATCCGCACATGCACATTTGTCATTTGTATCACATTTAGTGTCTGCACCACAGTTGTTTGATGCATCTCCTCCGCAATCTTTCAAAGTACAAATAGCAACGTTCGTTCCATCAAAAGTTATTTTGCAAAGGCAATTCGTCCCATCACAATAGGAGTTTGAATCAGTGCATAAAGCGGCGTTACCGGTACAGACGATTTGACTGCATGTTCCGTCTGATACCACGTAATTGGCAAGACATGCGCAGTTGTCACTTCCATCACAAGCTGTGTTTGTCCCACAATTTGTAGCAGCGTTACCCCCGCATGCCTTTTGGGTGCACGTTGCACTATTATCTCCAACAAATGTTATTTTGCAAAGGCAGTTGGTCCCATCACAATAGGAGTTTGAATCAGTGCATAAAGCGGCGTTACCACCGGAACAGTCGATTTGACTGCATGTTCCGTCTGATACCACGTAATTAACAGCACAAGCACAGTTGTCACCTCCATCACATGCTGTGTTTGTACCACAATTTGTAGCAGCGTTACCCCCGCATGCCTTTTGGGTGCATGTTGCAATATCAGTTCCGTCAAATGTTATTTTGCAAAGGCAATTCGTTCCATCGCAATAGGAGTTAGAATCAGTGCATAAAGCGGCGTTACCGGTACAGACGATTTGACTGCATGTTCCGTCTGATACCACGTAATTGGCAAGGCATGCGCAGTTGTCACTTCCGTCACATGCTGTGTTTGTACCACAATTTGTAGCAGCGTTACCACCGCATGCCTTTTGAGTGCATGTTTCACTATTAGTTCCAACGAATGTTATTTTGCAAAAACAGTTGGTTCCATCACAATAGGAGTTTGAATCAGTGCATAAAGCGGCGTTACCACCGGAACAGTCGATTTGACTGCATGTTCCATCCGATACAACGTAATTAATAGCACAAATGCAGTTGTCACTTCCATCACATGCTGTGTTTGTCCCACAATTTGTAGTAGGGTTACCCCCACATGCCTTTTGAGCGCATGTTTGACTATTAGTTCCATCAAATGTTATTTTGCAAAGACAGTTGGTTCCATCACAATAGGAGTTTGAATCAGTGCATAAAGCGGCGTTACCACCGGAACAGTCGATTTGACTGCATGTTCCATCCGATACAACGTAATTAATAGCACAAATGCAGTTGTCACTTCCATCACATGCTGTGTTTGTCCCACAATTTGTAGTAGGGTTACCCCCGCATGCCTTTTGATCGCATGTTTCCCTATTAGTTCCATCAAATGTTATTTTGCAAAGACAGTTGGTCCCATCACAATAGGAGTTTGAATCAGTGCATAATGCGTCGTTTCCACCACTGCAATCAATTTGAGTACACGCGGCTCCGTCTTCACCGTAATTTACAGCACAGCTACATTCGTTTGACGAAGAACACGCGGTTGATGCCCCGCAGATTGTCGTAGGATCGTCACTTCCAGCCATACACGCTTTTTTCTCACAACCTGTTGTTGCCCCATCGGGCTTATAGTTAATATTGCAAAGGCATATTGTGTTTGGTACATCGCAGACATCGGCATTTGGTTCTGGGGCGCATTCGGAATCGTCATTACACGTTTCAAGTTGAGCGGACACTGTAAATTGTAATAAACGTTAAGTTTATTTATTTCAAATAAAAAATTTCATCAACGTAATAATTTTTTCCAGTTTGATTTTGACTTCAGGGTTTGTTTAAAACGGTAATTTACATTTGTAGCCGATCACGAGATTACTTTCTCTATTGCGCATCCTTTCATTATTCACGCAATTCGTTTTAGGCCTACTGCAAGTAATTTGATTCGGTTCTTCATTTTAGTTTATTGTTTTGTTGCATAGCTTTGTTATTTGACGACAAATGCTGGATTGTATATATATATTGTTTCGGTAGCAAATATTCAATATTATGATTTTTCGTCGTAACCAACTGAAGATTCTTAAAAATCCCTCAGCCTATACCAAACACGATGTTTTAATTAAAAGTCGAATCTTTAACTAAATATTTTTATTAGTTTTTGAATTTCATTCCATCTCATTGTAGTTTCAGATATTGTAGCATAGTCTTGTTATTTGAAAACAAATGTTCTTCATTGTTTATGTTGTTTCGTTAGTAAATATTCATTGTTTTGATTTTTTATCGTAACCAACTGAAGATTTTTTAACAATCCCGTGGCTGGTATACAAAACACAATGTTTTAATTAAAAATCGATTCCTTAATTAAATATTTTTATTAGATTCGAAATTTCACTCCAATTTAATAAATGTCTAATAATAATTAGAATAATGAATAATTTTGAATAATCAACTAAAATTATATTTAGCAAGAACGCTGAAAGGCAATTTTCAAGTAGCAACTCTCCATTGGATATTTCACATGTATTCGAGTTGCTGGGCTTCCAAGTTAGGGTTTCTCCACAAAAATGATTTTCCGGCAACTTAAAATCACGAAACAGCAATATCCACTAATAAGAATTTCTATATATGTTTGGATATTGGGAAGATTTTCAATTGTTGATTACGATCGCCAACCACAATTCTACACGTTTTAAGATTCATGGATTGTGTCAGTCATGCATCAAAAACCTATTATAGGTTTGGTTATTTCGACTAAAGTATGCATCTATCCATTGGTTTTGTCCCAGTACATATTAGCATTTTATAGTTATTTCAAAGCCTTTAATGGGGCAAATTTACTGTTTGCTGAGTGAAATTCATCAGTGTTTTAGTAAGTCATCGTAAATATAAGTTTCAGCTATAGGAATACTTTATATAAAATAGTTCAAATAAAAGTCCCATTCAATATACTCACCTCGATTCCACAAATATGAAAGCACAAATATCCCCAGAACTACAGTTTTGAGGAAATGCATACTATATTTGGATGGTAACATATATAAGCTGAATTTGTAATAAATCAACATAATATTAAAATATCAAATACAGAGCAACTAAAGTTGGTAAGTTATAACAACTGATGTAACGGCTGATATATATATATATATATATATGATAAAACACCTGTCTTCGACTCTGAGACTACTATTCTAGAATTATACGGTTCCAAAGTTAATTCTATGAATTACGTATATTGGGAATTATTATTCTGTTTTATATCATTCATAAAAATCGCAAATCTAACTCTAAAATCTTCAAAGATTAAACAGTGGGGTTTCATGTCGTAAACAACAATTTTCTACCTTTACTTAGCAGTTTGTAAATGTCCTAACGAATGTCCTAACGACGGTTTTTGTTTGCTCACTCTATCCGCGATCGAATTTCAATAAACACGATGGTAAAAGTGAAATGATTTTCTCATCGAAATGTTCCGAGGATTGTTAGCTCAATTGTGAGAATATCCGATGCCAATGTGAAACTATCAACGTCCATATCAACGTACAATTTTGTAGCCCGATAATATTTATTCCAACAGCACTGATGCAAAATTGCATTGTTTATAAATTAGCTAATGTTTTACTTATTTAAACAGTTTTTAAACAATGATTGCATATTTATTACCGCGAATTATTTGCTACTATTCCGATCATATATATATTAGAAGTTTCGCACCATGGATCTTAATAAAGTTATGGGTAGCCCTGGATACTAAATGGTGTATGTTAACAAAGCACATACAAAATGGTCCAAACAACTTTAGGCCCTTTGAGGCCCGCATTCGATATTGTTAATGCTGCCTCCAAATTACTACCATCTGACGATAGAGCTTGAGTAACTTTAACTCATATTCCTGTCGCTGCGTGGAAAGAGTTTACGTATTATATTTCATCCATTCCATATTTTGTTGTAAGACTTCGAAACCAACAGGCGGCACCAAATCGACCCACTTTTATCCTTTAATAACAATGTTGTTCTTTATTCGGAATTCTAGCTATGACTCAATTATATTGTGACAACACAATGTTAAAATTTTCGAGCGCTGTTATACACACCTGTCTGCCATTGTTTTAAAATCAGTCAATCGGGAACATCGTTATATTTATTACAACCTATGTCATCAATATGTATCTTGGAAACCATTTCATAAAATGCCAATCCAAACAACGTCAATAGTAGAAAGTTTTTGTGAATCTTGACACCATATATGTTATTAAAGATATCATTATTAAAATAATAATCTTTTGAATGGGCTTATAACTGCAGATTATCTATTTATTATTTGTTTCCGGATATCTTTGCAAGAATATTAACTGGATCAACTATTCTCCATTTTTTGCAACAAGAAATTCAAATTTATATACATGTATGAGATCTGTGTGTGTATCTTATAATTTTTTGTTTCGTTTAGTATTCACATACTACTTAGAACAGGAGTGTGCAACATTTTTTGTCGGTGATTCATATAACCAACTTCAAAGATCTGGCCGGGCCTCCAAAAAATTCAGTTTACCTATGCGGGAAAGGTAATAGAAGAGAATGAAAGGGGTTATTGCTTAGCCATGTACTAATAAAGGCACCGGGCAAAACGGTGAGCGAATTAACGCAGCGACAAGAACAAAAATCATTAGGTATTGTTACTAAATGGATACTACACTAAATGGATCAGTGGGATGAATTGTGGGCCGCGGACCGCATGTTGCACACCCCTGCCTTAGAGCGTTTAAGTTTAAAAAAACGTCTGTGTCGCATTCATGAAAAAATAGTCAATATTTCATATATTTTTCAGAATTCTAGTTTAGTTTGTACAGTATAAGACTATGTAGTATCACATCACATTTCAAAACAAAAAATAAGTCCTGAATATTCAGAATGATCTGTTGCAAATGGAAATTATGCATCGTTTTGAAAATTAGTTGTTGTTAGTGGTTGATTTCGTGTCGTTGGCACAAAGAGTTGCATCTCACTATCACTAATGTATCAATCGATTCCAAGAACATTCCCACGGTACTCAGTATCGAGATTTTTGCGAGCTAGTGCAAAACGAACGACATGATAACGGTGTCGATATGATCAGCTACATATATTTGTGCGCCGATCGTTTGTTTATTATCGCAATAACTTATGTTTTAAGACTTTTCGCGTGTATTTATAGTAAGTTTGACACCTGCGACGAAATATGCATTTACTCAACTTCCCCGCTATCCACTAACGCATGCGTCACATTCTTTGTGCGTTGGATTATTTTGTAACTTCATATATTTAGGTTTTTTATCATATATTTTATCCATCACTTCCGAATTGGCTGTTGACGACACATTACACGGATCTCTAATGTATTTTCCCATTGTAATCAGCATAACACAGTCAAAAACATGTTCAGTATACTGCTCTATGAAAAGATTAATGTGAATCAAGATATCTTTGTCATCGCAACAGAATATGATAAGAATGTTACCAGCATTTCTACATGTCCTGTTATTGTTCCTATTGTCTCATGCTACAACCAATCGTGATCCGCGCAAGGTATTATCCGGACATTGCTATGAATTATTATCGGATTGGGTGAATTTTCGGCGTTTATTGATGCGTATTATCTTACATTGCATCTGTATTTCTGTTTTGATCTCTTCCTCTCACTATTGTACAAATTAATTAGTACATTTGTATATTTTGTACAACACTGTATCTTGTCTTATTGGAGACGAATTGTACATGTGGATTGATTTGTTATTATTATTATGTTGTCGTTAGAGTCCATTTTCTTGCTGTTATGAAAAAACAATTTCTAATTAAACCCTGGACTGTTTTGAATTTTTTCAGCAGTTGAATATTGTATTTTTCACTGTAAGGTTATTGCTTGTATTTGAAAATTTATGCGGGTTCTAAGGCAGGGGTCACCAAACTACGGCCCGCGGGCCGGATCCGGCCCGCGGCGTCATTTTATCCGGCCCGCAATAACACGCAAAATTGACGATTTTTTTTTTCAAGGGAAATTTTCCCCGAGCATCGTCTTCCTTGTTTATTTTGTAACATTGGCCAATCAGCAAGATGCAAAAAAGTGACATAGGCCCCTCGTCCGCTTAAATACTTTTGTTTTGTCAACCTGGCAGATTTTCAGTCGTGGTTGTAAACGATACTTCGTTTTTGCGAATTTGAATGCTATTCGTTAGTTTTTGGTTGTGTTTGGGAAATTTAAATCAAATACGTCCATCATCATTTGCCTGCTTAGGAGTTGTAGTTTTAATAGTAGTAATGAAAAATTAGTCTAGAAATAGCTGTGACAAAATAGGCTAAAATTCTCTACCGGTACGCAACGTTTTCTGCGAAAGATGCACTCGTGGCGCGTGCTTTCGACGAAACTGTTTACGTTTCTTGTGCCAAAATGAACGTCGAATGTGCATGTTGCGCTAACAGAACTGTAAGCCCTCACGTACTGCTCCAATTCCACAAGTCACACTAACTTTTGTACTGCTTTAAAGCGGATATTCATGTCGTAATGTTACAAAATAATTGACGTTTATCCGATTTAAATGAAAACTGCGCCAGTGGATCTGAGTGAAAATAAGAAAACAATACCGAGTTTATAAAAAACGATCAAGAAATAACGGAGATATCGGAATTTTAGTACCACCAGACAGGCAAATTCTTTCCAAAGGAATGTATTACTTTTTCATAAGAACTGTAATAAATATGAAAAAAGAACACATATCACTCTCCATTCTTTCGATCTGCGTCACATCTATGGAATATTAAGACTACTTCAGGATTTTATCGTCGATTTTATAAACGCTGGAGTTGTGCACGTTAGTTTGACAGTGGTTCATTGTCAGTAATAGTCAACGATGTTTTGATTGTACAAATTTCATAAAAATTGGTAAGTATTAGGTTAGACAAGAAATACACACGTCCACATAAATTTTATTAGTGGCTATAGACCATATCATTAATCTGTACTACGTATAAATAGAGCGTAATTTTTAAAAGCTCCGAATGTTGGGAAATTTATGCGGTAATAAAAAAATTCAAATACCAGATAATAGTTGTTTATTTTATCTAAATTATGTCAAAATTTCATGGAATTCCATGCTACAGCAGGCAGTCAGTTCGTAGTCGTTTTTATGAGCGGTATTCCGACACGGCGTAACGGTACTTAGCAGACGGGATCCGTACATTTTTTTGAGCGAAAAAGCGGGTTTTGTAACATTCCTAATTCATGACTGCAACAGCTAAACTAAGGTTAGTTGTCTAGATAAAGAAATCTTGTATATTTGTTTTCCTAGAATGTTCTCGATCTAACTTTAGTGAATTTATTGTATTGCATTGACAAAAATATTCATCCGGCCCGTTTCAACACAGTTTGAGTCATATCCGGCCCGCGGTCAAAAAAGTTTGGTGACCCCTGTTCTAAGGGATTCGCGTCTTTTTGCGATGACGTTATCAAAATTAAAAATTGCGCACCTTGTGTCGGTTCCGCGTTTGCGATTTCATGTTCAGATGAAGTCGTGAAGACACTACCGGTAGTCTACTGCTACAGATTGCATTTCCGTACTATTTCTCTTTAAGCCGTCATGTGAATATATTTGAGCATCGCTCTCTTGATTTAAGTCACCTAGCTTTAGTGGTGGGAACAACTTATTAAACGTTTTATTAGGATTGATCATGTGATCTAATTATAAAGAAAAGGACAAAGAATATCATAATCCTTGTTACCTAATGCACTGCCAATGCATTGTCTCGTCAAAACTAGGAACTATTATTATATCTGTAATTTGTGTCAATGTCAGTTTAAAATGTTGTGTAAGAGATCCTCCTAGTGACCACAAGAATCTTTAACCAACCTCTGAAATTTTCAAAGCAATTGGGCCATAGGTAAAGAGAAAAGCGATGTTTTTAAAATGAACAACAATAAGAAAAATAACAAGAATACTAACAACAACAATTTAACAAAATTATTTTCGTGTCCATTACATTCACCAACCAAAAGTAGAATTTTTTTTTCTTTTTCAAATGAACTCTGATACTTATGGGTAGTGATATTACACCCAAAATTTGTACTCCATTGCTCTCGACAGCAAGATAAGGAAGTAGGCCTCACCAGCTAGCGGGGCTAATGTGCTTGTGGCAAGTGACGTCAGTCAGACTCGTTTGTCAGCGTTTCTAGAATTAAAGCAGATTAATGCAATATTGATAAATACTAATAATTTCGGATGGAAATTATGAGCTGTGGTCTCTTGACCAAAATGCAGCATATTTTGCTTATTTCAATATTTATAGAAAACATAAAAACGAGAATATCGGCCAGAGACCGAAAACTTATCGATCGAATTACAGGGGATCCCCCAAAACAGCGCTCTTACTCCATAGTGACACCTTGTGTCCCATCACTAATTAAATAATAACTCGCTAATTATACTACGTAATTCATCCAAAATCAATAGGCTTCTGGTACGACATATGATGAGTGCACATGCCAAATCTGGAGCAGATTCAATCTCGCTTTCGTGAGATATCGCGTGCATCTAACAGACAAACAGACAGACATACAGACAAATACCTATCAACATACTTACTGATTAAAATAGATAAGTAATAATAAAATTAATGTGTTACCGAGTATAGTTAGCGTCGACTATAAAGGGCCTAGTTAGCACTGGAAGTGGGGTTCTGAAAAGGTTCTCCGATTTTGGGGTCAGTTTACCTTCTCTCATCTATAACGCGGTGTATTGAATTGTTTCAATTTCCGTGACAACGAGAATGGCATTCCCTTGATTTCTTATAGTGTAAATCGCGTATCAAGTCTTGTTAATTTATTTGTTATTGTAGACGTCTTAATACAATAATAATCATAACTTATTTCATTTTTGAACGCGGACGAAATGAACGAAAACACATGTGCAGGATTTTTCAACTTTCGGACGCTTTGAGAACCAACAAAACGATTTGGAGACGAATTGTAACTTTGAAAGTGCGATTGCAATTAACACCATAGTATTCAAACGGGCAATTTAACGACGGAAGACAAATTGCCAATTGAAGCAACATAACATTCGTCATTTCGGTAAC